GTGGGTCAGAGGTGGGAGGGGTGTGCTGTGCCTCTAGGAAAAACTTGCAGTGTCACCTTGACCAGAAGTCTCAGTTCTGTGCCTCCTGCAACATGGGCTGCCTTCCCTGAGGGGGGCTGGGGGCTCCCCAGTGGGGCCCACACCTCCTGCTGTTCTCAAGCAAGCTGTGGGTGCAACAGACAGGTCCACGCGTGGTCCAGTGCCCTGTCAACGACCTGCAGGCTCCCTATGAAGGAGTGTCCCCTGCGCATTCAGAGCCGGCACTGTATGGGGTCTGCCAGGGCTTGACCCCATCAATCTAAGTGCTGGGGACAGGGAGGAGATGATACCAGCAAGCTCCAAGTCGACTGGAGGACAAGGTGTCAATGGGACCAGGACACCAAGCCACGCCTTCACTCACAAAAGAGGACGGACCAGAAAGTTCCAGCACCGCCTGGGCAGTGTGCTCTACCCCGACACCCCCACCCTCCGCCACAGCCCCATCCCTCCATCCAGGGCCACAGCAGCCTCCACAGCATCTCACTGCAAATTAGGAGCTGGTCCTCCCTCCTCTGAGTGGCTGCAGGCCGTGTGCATGACTTGACGGGCAGGGCACAAGGGGGGCTGCAGCCCCAACTCACCCCCAGAAAGCCCAACTGCACAGCCCTATGCAGGGGCCTGCTTCCATCCGCCCCGAGGTGGTCAGGACCACCCTGACTGCTGAAGTTTTCCGCCTCGGGGCTGAGGACTAAAAGGAGTGGCATTACGATCTCAGGATAGTATGGCGTTGTGTTTAACAGGAAATAAAGGGGCGTGAGAAACCATTTGTTGGGGGCGGGAGCTCTGTTTCTCTGGGACCTAAGATCTCTACCTTGTTTCATGAAAAGAATCCAAGCATGGCTGCCCCACAAAGAGACTCACTTCAAATGTGGAGCAGACCCCAAAAGAGTGGTTCTCAGATGTTTCTGATCATATACCCACATCGACAGCATCTATAAAAAACGATACACCGAGACCAAGCGGGATTTATCCCAGGAATTCAAGGTTGGTTTAACATGCAAAAATAAATTAACACCAGGCCGGACGAGTGGCACAATTGTTAAGAACTGGCTTGGGATGCCAGAGGGCCCCGGTTCGGATCCCACATATGAGGGCCAGGGACACTGCCCTCTACAGCTAAGATGCTGAACAACAGCTCGACCTGGAGCTGGGCTGCCGTGAGTCGCCAGTGACAGTGTAGGCTGCAGCCCCTGCTGCAGTGGGTTGCCATGGGCTACTGTGTGTAGCCAGCAGCCAGCGTGAGCGGCCAGCAGCCGCAGTGAGCAGCCGTCCAGAAGCCGGCGACTGATCTGCCTCACCTGGGAAGAGCGCAATGATGGTGCCAACTTGGGCCAGTGAAGCAACATCCTCCACAACTAGACTGAAGAACAAAACAACAGCAACTTGTCTGTTCCCCTTCCCCCAATTCCCCAGTGCTGTTCCCATTCCCCAATTCCCCAATAAAAATCTTTAAAAAAATTTTAATTAATTAACACCATGTACTGTATTAATAAAGGACAAACCCCATGCAGTCATCCCAACAGGCACAGAAAAAGCATGTGACAAAATCCAAAACCCATTCGTGATTAAAAGAAATAAAAGCTCTAATAAAAAAATGTATAAATAGAAACTCTCAACAACAAAAAAAGGAACTTAAGGACAGTTTCTCACCCTGATACTGCGAACGGGCATTGGGGGACTTTGTAGGGGTGAAGGATCGCAAAACCCTATGCCTTCACTGCAGTTCCCCAAGATGTGTGCACACTGGCCACGGGTGCATTTTATGGCATGATAGCCCCACTCAACAAAGCTGTACAACAAGGTAACTCATTGGCAGCTGAGGGCAGAGGAGAGAGTGCTGAGCAGTGGCTCCAGTGGAAAACGGAGGCCCACTGCTGACAAGGGCAGGCAGCCAGTCACAAAAGGGAAGCAACAGATCAAAATAATTCATGGACTGAATGACCCATCCTGGCATAATTAAAACTCTGCCCGCCCAGAGAAGTCTGCTTACTCCCTCCGCTTGTCCTCCAAGCAAAAACAAGTTTCCAGACCAAATAAGGCTGCAGCTTTTGCAATGCTCCTGGCACACAACACAATTCCTTTTAAGTGCCAGGTTATAACTTGGGCCCAAAACATCCCCGAGCTGCACGATGCCCATCAGCCCCGATCCCTCTGGGTAACGCTCCAAACAAACCCAGGTAAACACAAGAGCAGGACTGGCTCCGCTGCGGCCTCCGCCCACTGGCCGGCGGCAAGGGTGAGGCCTGCTGCTCAGAAGGAAGCCTGGTGCCCAGGCAGAGTGGCAGGGCTCCCCCATCCAGCGACTTCTGCTGGCAGCCAGCCAGCTCCTGGGGACCTAGGCACCCTCACCTTGGCCTCGAGCAGCACAGGCCATTTGCTGAGCCTGTGCGAGGAGCCCCGTGTGTGTCATTTCATCACTGCTGCAGCTTTGCAAGACGATGACAAGGACAACAGACGCTTCTGAGCATTGCAGTGCCAGGCGCTGTTTCAACGGCTTGTGATGTCCAGCGCATTCACTATTCATAGCAACCCCAAGAGATCAGACCTATTGTTTCCCCATTTTACAGATGAGGAAATCGAGGCACAAGGCCACGCAGCCCGTACCAGATAAATCTGGGGACGAACCCCATACTGGACATGCTGCAAAGCTGGGGCTCCCTCCTGCCCCCCCCACCCCAAAAGAACCGGTAGGGCTCCCTCCCTGGAGCTTCCATTGCGGAGAGGAGGCAGACCCCCCCCTCCCCCCCGGACAGGACTGCCCTGCTCCTGCTGCTGCTGCAGGGAGGGCTACAGCCTGGCTTGGGATGTTCTTTTCCTTTTTTTGGCTCCCCGGCCAGGCCAAACTGTAGGACATTTTTCAAGCAACCAGCTACAAACATTTTCCTAACAAGGGCTCTCTGGAGGAGAAATGGAAACTTCTTGTGTTGCAATGGTCAACTCTGACATTTTAACGATGCGTCAAAACTGGCTGGGGTGGAGGTCAGTGGTGGAGGGGCGAGTGCTCTGTGCAGGGGAAGGTGGGCCAACATCACGCCAGGCCCCGCTGTGGAGCCCTAACCCGGACCCAGGCCCCACCCACCGTGGAGCCCTAACCCGGCATCCAGGCCTTGCCATCCAGGCCTTGCGAACACACCACGCTCATTCTGTTGGCTCCTCAGCACAGCTGGCCAGGTGAACAAACAGGCTGAGAGAGTGGAAGGGACTTGCCAGAGCCACATTCAGTGGAGCCACATTCAGACTCGGGGCCTTCCAATTCTGGGTGCTTCCACCACCCCAGCCGGGCTGTCGCCTGTCTTCCTGTCACCGAGCGGGCACAACGGCCCAGCGGCAAGCACGTGGATGATGGGATAGGCCCGCTCTTTCTCCAATGACAGGTGCGCTGACTCGGCACTGCCTCCCTGCTGGGACTGTCTACACCGAGACATACAGACGTGGGCACACCTGGACCCGCAAAGGCCCTTTTAGCTCCAAGTGACAGAAACCCAAGGCAGGCTGCTCTCAGCTAACAAAAGGGGATTGGTTAGTTCAGGACACTGGCAACGGGGTGGGGGTCAGGTGTGGCTGGATCAAGGTGGAGCTCAGACGAAGTGATCAGGTGGCCCCCAGCCCCATTTCTGGCTGTTTCCGCGCTGGCCTCCTCTCCTGCAGACAGGCTTCCTCGAGAAGGCAGGGAGGGTGGCTGCTGTCCCCCCACCCCTCAAGGAAGAAGGGCCGACATTCTTCTTTCAGCATCTGTGCGTGAACCCCAGGGGGAACGCTGTTTGGGTTCTGGCCCGTCCCTGAACCTGGCCTTGCTGTGGCCAGGCGAGTGTGGTTCGCTGACTGACCCAGCTGAGGACATAAGCCTCCCGGTGGCCAGGGGATCAGGGCTCGCTCCCACAAAGGCAGGGAGATAGATAAAGCACCCTCAGCAGGCTAACCGGGTGACTGGCATGTACATACACGATGCGATGGGGTCCCCGCCCCTCCCCGTTCCCGAACAGTTCAGCCCTAAGTCACTTGATAGGACCAAGCCAGGAAGGCGTCCATGCAAGGGGAAGAAGGGGGGACCACGGTGGCACAGAGTGGACATCAGGCCTGGGCAGGGGGGCTGTGACCCCATGAGAGGGTGGCCGAGTGCTGGCAAGAGGGGTGGTCAAAGTGTGCAGGCCTGGCATGGGGGGCACGACGAATGCGCTAAATAAATGGCATTTGCGGGCCAGCGGCCTAACAATAGAACAGACAAAAACGCGCACACCCTCAGTGCCTGCTCAGGGAGGCTGAGCTTCACTGTGAAGACCACGGGGACATGAGTGGCATTTAAAGAGCGTGGGCACAGGGCCGTGTGAGGAGGGTGTGCAGGGGTGATGGCGGAGGGCATTTTGGAAGCAAGTCAGCCAAGAGCAGCTGGGTCAGACCTCAGGCCCCGAAGGCGAGGGATGGAGACAGAGCTGAGCCTCAGGGCAGACGGCAGACCCCAGACCCTAGACCCCAGACCCCGGATCCTGGGCCCCGGAACGCAGACAGGCGCCCACCTCCACCCTGCCTGTTGTCAGCACAGCCTCAGGTGTAACACCCCTTTGGCCCCTCCCCCCCTAGGGTAAAGTGCTCCCCTGGCCTTCTCTGCTAAACCGCCCCCTTGCTGCCTCTGGGCTGAACCGCCCCCTCCAGCCCCGGGGGATGAGCCGCCCCCGGCCCTCTCTTTCCATCCGGCCTTGTTCCTCTCCTCAGCTTACAACTCTGAACCTTCCCATAACCGTTCATTCCAAGCGGTGGAGAAGTCAGGCTAAACAGGAAGCGTCTTCTCCGGCTCGTCATCTGTTAACTGGACAAGAACCCCCCGGCAGCGGCCCGTCTGGCTCTGAGCACCACCAGCGCCTCTGGTCGCCTGAGTATTTAGAGCAAACATCACTCATCCTGCGTGTTCAACCACCTCAGGAAAGAGAGCAAAGCCGGGAAAGGACGCTTACGTCAGACATAACTGTGCGGAGCGTGCATTCACTTTTAATTTTAAATAACTTACATCCCTTTGAAACAAATAAAACGGTGAGGCTCAGGGAAGGCATCCATCTGAAAGTCTCCTAAATAAACAGCCGGCAGAGGACACGGGGACACCTAGGAAGGGGCACGGCCTGTGCCTGCGTCTGGGACAGCGCTCTCCAAGTCTGACCCCAGGAGCAGCCAGTTCACCCTGTTCCCACCCACGGCACCCAGGAGGGGCTCCCAAGGGCCAGGGAGGCTTCGTGAATCACACCCAAGCATGACCTCCAGACTTCAGGGGAGCAGGACAGGCCAGGGCCACTCTACTCCCCTGTAGGGGGTCAGGGTGGGCCACTGCAGCCACCAGGGAATAGGAGACAGACGGAAATGGCCTCCGTGAAGTCACAGCTCCAACAAAGGGCGAGGCAGCCACGTGGGGACCCGCGGAGAAATGCCCAGCATTCTCATCACCCTCCGGGCACATTAGGGGGGTTTTCAAGTGCCCCCGTAATCCTGAAGGGCTGAAAGCTGGCCAGCGCCAGACCGGGGGCGGGGGGTGCCCAGGCACATGTCCAAGGGGACAGCCTTCCTGTCCCTCGTGGCAGCACCCCAGGATTCGGTTTGACTGGGAGGGAAATCAGGGACGGGGGACGGGTCCAGGGCAGGAGTGAGGGTGGGGACGCGGCATTCCGGGGCCACCTCACCCCTCGCCCTGAGAAAGGGCAACAGGCACTGACTGGGCCTGGGGCTCTCCTCCACCATCTGTCACCTTAGAAAAGCTCACGGCCGGGGCCGGAGAGGCCACCCTTCCTCCCACAGGCCCCTCGCCACGTGCGGCCTGGCGGACACAGCGTGGGTTTGGTTGCACACTGTCACTGTGAGCGCTACAAGGGACAGGAAGCACCCGGGGGACAGCCCTGCCCCCCTCCCCCGCGTTTCAGACAAGCCCCGGAGGCCGCGTGCGAGGAGCCGGGTCACGTCTCCTTCTCCCGTTTGCTCTTCCTCCGGCTGGTCAGCTCGTCCAGTTTCTTCCCCAGCCTCCTCTGGAGCTGGGCCCTCTTGGCTGGGTCCAGGGACCGGTCCTTGGTCCCGCTGCCGGCATACAGGACTCCTTCCCGGCTGATTCTCTGCCGGGCATGGGCGCGCGCCCTCTCCCCGCAGCCATGGATCTGCGGGGGAACAGCAGTCAGTGCTGGGCCGAGTGGGGACATGGCCCTGCAGTCCTGCCCATCACAGCTCCGAGGGGCTCCCTCCTCCTCCGGCGCACGGACCCTTCACCTGCAGGCTCCATGGGTGGGGGGGACTCCACACCCTGGCGAGGCTGGGCACCCCCAACCTTCCCTACACCCCGCCCTCGCCTCAGCCCAGGCCCCACAGCCTGACGGGGCGATGCGTCGCACACGCGTGCACCAGCCCACCAGCGGTGGTGCTGACACAGCACAATGTTCCCAAAGCAGGATTATAATCTCCTCCAGGCATAAAAGCTATTTTATCTCATCTGACCCAAATGCTAGGCCTGTTGGAGGTGCTCCAGGGTGCGCACCCATGGACGGATGCCAGGGCGGGAGGGGGTCTGTCCTGAGCTGTGTCAGTGAGCCTCTGGCGTAACCACTTCTGCTGGTAAGGGGACGGAGGGGGTGGAGGGGACACGAAGTGCCCGCCAGGCGCTGACACACCGATCGCTCAACACGCACGCTTCATGGATTCCTTCTAGAAAGCAGAGGGGCAGACCGAACCCACAGGCTTCCTTCTCCACGGCACAGGGAAGGTGTTCCTTGGGGACTGCCAGGTGGGACCCCAGTTTGGACCCAGTGAGATTCCAGAACAGATAGCAGAGAGGCTGGCGGCCACGCCCGCAGCCAGGACTTCTCGTCCCACAGGAGGCTGTGCTGGCAACGTCACTGACCGATGGCACAAGCAGCATGGAGCCCACTGCCCTCACTTGTCTCAGGCCCACCCAGGCACTAAGCCACCCCACATGGCACCAGACAAACAAGAGCCGTGCGACGAACACACCCTGGCCACCCAAACCTTCGGTGTGACAGCTGTTAAACACTCTAAAGATCTTTCCAAAGCACTTACACCTTATCAGCACGCGCGCACATGGAGAGGCTGCGTGGGTGTGCGAGGAGGGAAAAGCCGTCACCCAGGAGACGCCCTGTGAGCAAGTGGCTACAAGCCTGGCCTGGCACGGGGCACCAGCAGGACACTGACATGGCTGCTGCAGGCCGTGTCACCCCCGAGGCTGCAAGCCACATCAGAGGTGGGGCGGGGCGCTCCCCCACACCCTCCCCTCCCCCCACCTCCGAGAGCCCCACCGCCATCCTGGGCCGCCCAAACCAGAACCCCGAGGACCACTCTGGGTCCTCCCTCCTCTTCTCACCTTGACCTACAGCCCGTTCAGGGCCCCAAATCCGTCCCTCCACCTTCTCCATTCCCCGCCCCCAGGGTGGGCCCCAGGTCTCTTGCCAACGTCCCGGCGGCGGTCATTCCACCTGGTCCAGGCCTCATCCTTGGCCTTCTCTGCACTGCGGCCACGTCTCCTGGCGTCACGGCCCGGCTGAGACCCTCCAGCGCCCCCGCTGCCTTCAGAACCAGGTCTGAATTCCTCGAGGCGGCTCCCGGGGCCTTCTCAGCCTTCACCCCTACCATTCTGCCTCACGCTCTACCCCCAGCTGCCTGAGTGCCCCAAGCCTTCTCCCCGGGGCCAGGGCGCACGCCCAGCCCACCCCCACGGGTCGTCTGCTGGGTCTCGGGCAGAGTGTTCCCTGCTGTGGGAAGCCCACTCTGAGGGGCTTCCATCCCAGGTCACCGGGCTGTGCCCCCCCCCGTTCCTGTGTGCCGAGAGCACTCATCCTGGCCTTGTGCATGGAGAGGGCGCGCGCTGCAATGCAGGTAACTCACGTGTAAAGGGCTGTGGGCAGGTAAGAAAGACACCTGGGCAGCCCCTGGCCCCCAAGTTCCCCCAGGAGCGCAGTACATGGTGTCACATGCTGGTGTCTTACCTAATCCCCCACCGGGCCCACTGCCCCCCAAGGCAGGGATGAAGTCTGCTCTGGCCCCCAGCCCTGGGGGTCCCCACACTGGGCAGTGTGGGTTCCCATCCAGCAGCCGGCCCTTTTCAGGCTGCGCCAGAGGCCCGGCCTCCCACCTGCCCTGTGCTAACCCATGACAGAGCCCAAGGACGCCGAACAAATTCTCTCTGCTCAGAATTCCCACCACCTTGGCTGTCACTCAGCAAACGTGCCACCTCACTCACTTGTGCCCCGATACGTTAAAACAAACAAACAAACAAACAAACAAACAAACAAAAACCCCACAGGTCAATGTCTGTTTTAAGAGCTTATGAACAGCCACCGTTTCTGTTTGGAGCCCGTTTGTTTGGCCAGGATCCAAGCCCTGGAAACAGAGGCCCGCAGTCCCTCCCAGCTGCCCGGGCTGGCAGGGGCAGGCGTACCTCAGGCAGGTGGTGGCTGAGGCAGTAGCGGTGGCCACAGTGCTGGCAGAGCTGGCCCAGAGTCACGACGCTGGCTGTGCACTTGGAAAAGCCACAGGTGTTATCGGCTTTAATGGCAGCCGAGACCAGGGCGTCCAGGTCCTCCTCAGCGGGCAGATCTATGGCCGCAGGTCCTAGGGGAGAAAGTGGCACTCACATCGGGAGAGCAAAGACGAGGGACAAGAAGTCCCAGCTGAGCCCGGCCTGCCCCCAGCTTCCTGTTTCTGGGCTCACAGGGCGAGTGAGCAAATGCATGCTCAGCGGGGCTTGTCCGTCCTTCTCAGAGCTAATGACCAGGCACGGCCAGGACGCGTGAGCACGAGGACCCCCCAGAGCAGCGGTTCTCAACCTATCTAATGCCGCGACCCCTTAATACAGTTCCTCATGTTGTGGAACCCCCCCAAAGGGGTCGCGACCCACAGGTTGAGAACCGCTGCCCTACAGGGTCTGGCAGTGTGCGGACATGCCTCTAACAGTCCATCCCCTTTAATCCAGAAAAACATTGAATTATGAGGGTGTTCCTTAAGACATCAACTATAAAAACAAAAACCCAAGACAAACTACGGGGCCACCCCAGGGCAACGGTCAGGTGAACTAAAGCACGTTCACAGCAAGATTTCACCCAGATGTTTTCACCCAGATGCGTGGCAATCGTTTAAAGTTACAGGAAAATGCTCATGAGTGGGAATGAGATACAAAATTATGTATGGTTGTAATTCTGTAAAATACATAAGTAGGAATGACATTAACAAGTACAGTGACACAGACGCACAGGAACTAATGGGGAGGCGTGACCCAGGAAGCTGGTGCGATTACCCGGTGCTGCCAGGCAGGTGAGCCCCCATCCCCGATTTAGTCCCTACAATGGGCACGCTCAGTGCCGGGCACACAGATCGAAATGATCAGCCTCAAGGGGAGAGCATGGGGACAACCGTGACACCGGTGGCCCAGGGTCTCCGAGGGCCCCATTCGCCTGCATGTGCCTCAGTTGGCAGAAGCCATTTCAAACCTTCTAGGCAGGCACTCCTTTGCCACGGTCACCTGTACATGGGGGCGTGCCCCGTGCCCCGCAGACAGGCTGCATAAAGGGTAAGCCCTACGGCACCCACACACACCGATCTGGGGCACCTGGGGTCAGGGCAGGGACAGAGCGCTGATGCTCTCAACACCAGCCCCGGGGGGCTCGGAGAAGGCCTGGGGAAGTGCTCACGATGGCAGGTACCCACTTCCTCGGCAGTGGCAAGTGTCCTTGGGAGACAGAGGACCCGGGAAGAGAGTGCTCAGGCCCTAATCCAAAACGAAACCTCGTAAACACGAGGACTGGCCGCCTTCCCACAGGACCCGGCACCCACCACTCTCCCTAACCCTCACGCGTGACAGGCAGGGCTCCATGCGGCGGGGACCTTCCCTGTGTGGACCTCCAGCCGTGCCCCAGGGACCCGCTCATGCTGGCCTCTGCTTCTCGGCTGCGGGGACCTCGGCACAGAGCTCGGCACAGAGCTTGGAGACCAACTGGGCAGGTCACGTACAGTCTGACTGGTGAGATGGATTCTGAGGTGGCTGTTTGAAGAAATACTTCAAACACTGAGTGGTGCCAGCACCCCTGAAATGGGGCAGTCTCCCCAGGACACTCCTGAAATGGCCATGCCACACGCCCTCTCCCGGAAGGCTGGCCAGGCCCTCCGGTCACTGTCCTGGCGCCTCGCCCTTTCTGGCGTTTGCCACATTCTCAGCATGGTTTAGAAAGTTTCATCTCTTCCCTCTGCCAGAACACCGATTCCCGCAGACGTCTGTCTCACTCACACAAGGCCTGGATTCAGCAGCTGCTCACTAAATGCTGCAGAATGAATTCGGCCGAAGCCTGAGGCACTGGGAGGCTGATTTCAAAACCCACGAGTTACGCCTGTGCTGCCTGGCTCATGGGGACTAAAGGAACAAAGGGGCGTGAATGGCCTCGTGGTCCTGCCGTAACAAGAGGTCACCCAGGTGTCTCCAGAGAACCCAGGCTGTGACCGCCAGGTCTTCGAGCTCTAAGCCACAGGACGGGGACAGAGCACACAGCCCCGCAGGCCTCCCCAGGGATGGCCAGCGCGGCCCCTCCTGGGTCTCGGAGTCAGAAAGGGCACTGTTGCCACAGGAGGCCCCAGCAGGTTGGTGACTGCCCCTCCCATCCCCGAGGACACCCATCCCGTCCCTGTGCGCTCCTCCAGGCTTCTCCCTACTGTAAGCACACTCACCCCCCGTCGGCCTGGCCCTGGGGACTGGACGGTCACCATGACCAGTCACCGCCCTCAGGGGGCTCAGCCCCAGCCGATCAGACGGAAGGCGCAGAATCAGGGGAGCGGCCCCAGCAGCAGGTCCTTGAAGACCCAAGGGCGGCAGGGGGTCCGAGTGGCGCAAACATCCCAGTTAAGGGAACGCCAACACTCTTCCCGTCAGTTGACCGGACTCACCTTTGGCTTCTTTTTTCTTTTTCTTTTCTGGCACCTTCCGCAGCCCGGAGCCCGCGGCCTGCTGGCTCTCCTCGGCTCGCTGCTCCTGCGCGCCCCTCCCCCTCTGCAGTCTCTCCAGGTGCAGGGCCTTCAGGTCCAGCTGGTCCGGGCCGCAGGGCTCCCTGACGGGGGACTCGGGACAGGACGGAGGGGGCGGGGCCGGTGGCACTGGCGGGGCCGGCGGGGGCAGTGGCGCTGGCGGGGCCGGCGGCTCCCTCTTGCTCACAGTGATGTACCGCTCTCTCCCTTCCCCGGCGCTGTCATGCCTCAGCCCGTGCTCCTCGGCAATCTGGTGGACGCGCATCCTGTCATGTGAGTTCAGGGAAGCAGGAAACTCCAGCCGCGTCTGCTCACTCGCCACAAACTCTGCTATGACAGCCCGGAAGTGGGCTGTGCCGTCTCTGCTCTCCGCTCCCGCTGGGCTGCCTCCGTTGAGGCTGGGCTGAGCATGGGGCTCCCCGCGGGGCGTCTTCTGGGCCAGCCTGGCAGCCGCTCTGGGCCCCCGGGCTCCCTCCTGCTTCCTGCTTCCAGGTTTCCTGGCACTTGTGGAAGAGCCTCGAGGTTTTGCACCAGCTCGGTCACGACTCTGGGAACTCTCGTGGGAATAGTTTTCAGGGACGATGTCGTCAAGATACTCAAAGGCTGTGCGCACCTCCCCATGCTCTGTGAAATAATCCACCAGGGTCTTTAAGAAGGCGTGGTTGTTGACAGTGTGAGAATCACAGACAACCGCCACATGGCGCCGAGCACGGGTGACGGCGACGTTGATCCTCCGGTCCTCGGCAAGGAAACCAACTTCACCTAAAAACCAGGCAGTGGTGAGTCAAGAGCAGATCTGAGACTAAGGAACAGGAAGCCACGTGCTCCCGCCCTAATCAGCAACCATCACCTAAGGACCAGCTGCACCGCTCCAGCCTCCTGCACCATCGAGGCCCCACCACTGGCTGCCTGCCCGAAGGTCCCATCGTGAGGCCGTGGCTGCTCAGACACCTGCCGGCTGAGCCGCTATCAGCCCGGCTCCACATACCCGAAGTGCATGTCGGTAGCTATCAGACTTGCTCATTCCGAGCCCAGACCTAGAGGCCGCCTGGGGGCCATGGATGTGGCTGCAGCTGATCCACAGGGAAAGCACAGGCACATTCCAGCACATTCTTTTTCCCACCATAGCTTATCCCCACTGTTTTCCACCTTCTACTGAAATCGCTTTACAAAGCCCGTTAACTAAAAATTCTTCCTGGGCACAATTTTCTACCAAACGGCCTACCCACAAGCCCCAGCGGCATAAAAACCATGCGCTGAGGCTGACTCCGCCCTGAGGCCACAGATGAGCTGTGGGCTTCAGGGGGCCCCGCGTCCTCGGCAGGGGCTCCAGCCTTCCCAGCCCACACCCAGACGTACACACATGCCTCTAAGCCTCCATGCTCTGCTCCCTCTGCCAGGGACACCCTTCCCCACCCACTGCCACCGGCCCATCCTGCAACATGCGCTGACCCCGAGTCCATTCCTGTTAGAGCCCGCAACACACCTCCCTCACTGCAGCACTGTCCTCTGTCCCTTTCGCTTACTGGTGAGCTGGTGGAGGACAGAGTCTGTGCTCCGTCCATGGCCACACTCCCAGTGACCGGCGGGCACGGCCCCTACAAGAAACCCAGCCTCCTCTCCAAATAAGTATTTGACCTCTAGACTCTGGCGAGCACTCCGTACCTTTCCTATTGGATCTGACGAAGGACAGTACCACCGCCTCCTTCTCGCGACCTTGGAAGCCATCGACTGACTTTATTTCCAGCTTGGGGTGCCTGTGAGAGAGGCTCTTTCTGAGCAAGTCCACCTGAAACACCAAGCAAGGCCGTGGCTTCAGCAGGACCCGGCGGCTCTGACGCTATGCCCTGCAGCTCAGCACGGGGCCTTAAGTGGCAGGACCCCCACGACCCCAGGAGGCCCCCCAGGAGCCTCACAGGAAACGGTTCCCACAGCCGCCCTCTCACAAGCGTGCAAATAAATAACGCCCCGTGCCAGACACGACCCCACGCCCAGCACACATCTCATCATTTCTTTTGGCTCATGACAGCCCTAAGTGCGATGCCTGCAGAGCAGGCAGGGGTGGCAGCTGATCTGCAGCCCTCACGACACTGAAGCAGCAGTGTTTTTCCCTCCAAAGGAGACAGCTATGCTTCATAAGCACATAGACACTGAGAGGAAATGTGAGAAAAACAGAAGAGAAGGGAGCAGTCGTCTGTTGGTTCTGCTGGCCCAGCACCTCCCACCTTCCCCAGGAAGAGCTGGCACCCCGGATTTTCCTTCCAGAAACCGCCCACTCCGACACTCGGAATTACTGTGCTCCATGAAGCCAAGCCAGCCCGGCCTGAAGTGGGCGAGGACACCAGCTCCCAGCCACAGCGACTGACTGGCTCAGGGGTGGGGACAGACCAGTAAGATTCAAAGCTGAGATGCTTGTGGGAAATGCCATAAAACGGCCAGCCGTTCCCCAGGACTGCATGTGTTAAGGACAACGGCAGCCTGACACTGCTGGGGCCACCGGGAAAGCTGGCCTGAGATCGAAGCCAACACAGGGAGCCAAGCAGAGAGGCCAGCATGGGGTGGATGGACAGGTGGACGAGGGCTTTGTCTGATGTCATTTGAGTCCCGAATCCAGTTATGGTCACAAGAACCAATACACTGCTCTTTTTCTGTCAGCCCCTCTGCGTGGTGGAGTCCCTCTGATACACATGGAGACAAGGGGCCCTCTCGCACCTGCAGGTTGTACGGCGTGATGACGGCAATGTCACTCGCTTGTACACCAGCAGCCAGCAGAGCCTGGATGTGCAGACTGACAAGGAGCACTTCACCTGGAGGGAAACAGAGCGACTCCAGGACAAGGGACACTAAGCTGCCACCTGTCATCAGCACAGGTGTCAACTCTGACAACGAGCTGATCTTACATTGCGCCTGAGGCTGCGTCTTGGAGCTTGGAACCTGAGTCGGAGCGTTGCCAGGTTTAGCGAACAGAAGGACAGGACACCCAGCCAACTTGAACTTCCACAAACAACAAACACCTACTGTGTCTGAGCATGACCGTGCGTCCTCCGTGAGGGGCAGCCCTGTGACTGGAGCAGAACAAGGACCTCGCCCCGAGGCTAAGCCAGGCTGCGCAGGGCCACTCTGTCCAGAACCAGGACACAGGACGCTCGCTGCCCAGGCCACCTGTTCCCTCGCTCAGTGCTGCCTGCTTCTTGCAAACGCCACAGAGCTCAGCCTTCAAACCATCTGGCCGAGACCTGCCCCAGCTCCTGGGGGCTGAGCCCGCCCCCTCCCCACACCGTGCGCTCGGCTCCGCTTCGAAGCCGGCAACTTAAAGGGACAAGTGTGTTTACCGGGGATCTCGGGGCCTGTTTAGACAGAAAAGCAGACCCCTCCAGGCACACTCACCGGGGTTCCCTTTAGACTGCTCATCCTCCTCTTCCAGTTCAAACAGCCCGCAGCCGGCAGTGTCCACGAGCAGCAGGGGAACACCCGTGTCCTCTGTGGCAGCCACTCCCGGGAGATCCCTGCACCCGGGTGGACATCGGACACGTGAGGCCTCGTGTTTCCCTTCCCCCCTCCGCACTGGCCCTTCCCACAGGAAAACAGGGTCCCACCCACAGGCAACACAATGAGCGTGAAGAACACAGACAGGAGCACCCCGAATCCAGCTCTCCAGGGCAAAGCCACGGTCCCTCAGAAAACTAGTCCTCGAGATGACTCTTGCTCTAAAATCTCTACAGGCCACTCAGTGACGGGTCCTGCAGTCAGGACAGCAGGACCAAGAGGGGAGGCCGGGCAGGGGTGCAGACGTTACTCACTGCAGGAGGTGGCCAGCCACAGAAGGGTGCGCCGTGAGCTGCCCGTGGTACAGGGCGTCCGAGGCCCACTGCATGATGGCGTGGTGCATCCGGTACTGCACGGTCAGCGTCCGCACCAGCCCAGCGCCATGCTCCTGGGCCAGGCGCTCCATCAGGCTGAGCGACAGCCCGGCCCGCGCGGCCCTGCACCAGGAGAGAGAGGAGCCGGGAAGGCGGGCCTGAGTCCCACGTCCAGCCGGAGACCAGGGGCCAGCGAGGGAGCGGCCATCACCTCAGACCGACTCGCCCCCAGCTCTGACCTAAGGTTAAGGGAGTGGTCAGCTGGACAACGGCTGCCCAAACTGTCCATGTCCTGACCCTGGGACCTGCGAGTATGTGACCAAAGGGACCTTGCAGATGGGATGAGTTAAGGGTCTGAGATGGGGAGCTGATCCTGGACTGTCCGGGGGGGGGCAATGTCCTCACAAGGGTCCTTACGAGGGAGGCCAGGGTCAGAGTCAGAGAAGTGAATACTTGATGGCGGAGAGGCCGCCAATGAGGAGCCAGCGCCTCAGGAAGCGGGAGAAGGCAGAGGGGGCTCTCCCCGGAGCCTGCAGAGGACACGCAGCCCTGCCCACACGCAGCTGTCCCCCGAGATGGACTCTGGGCTTCTGACTTCCGGAACTGGAAGGTGATAAATGTGTGTTTAAGTTTGTGGTAGTTTGTTACAGCAGCTGTAGGAAACTGACAGAGATTAACTTTTTAAACACCAGTGTACTCCAGCTGGAAGGAGTCCACTGCTAATGGCGGATACCAGTAGCTGACACCTACTGGGCGCTTTTCATGTACCAGGCACTTGATGCGTATTTACTCACTTAATCCTCGCAATGACCTTGTGAGGTTACAGTCGGGATTGCATGTTACTATGAGCAGCGTGAGACTCTACCGAGAGGCTAAGTCACCAGCCCAAGGCCGCCCAGCAGGGAGCTGCAGGGCCAGGCAGCCTGGCTCCGCCGCCTCCTAACCACTAGGGCACACCCTTGTCCCCAAGCTGATAACACCAAATCCACTGGAAGAACCTAACTACCTCAGGGACACTCCCTCTGCAAACTTGTAAGACCTCTGTGGTTTCCCTTTATAAATAAAAGTCTCTGCTAAAAGCAACGCAAGCCAAAGAAGGGAGGCAGTGATGTGACTGCTAGTCCCAACTGCAAACCTGGAAACGCCCAGCACGATGCCACCCAACACCTCCCCCCAACCACCCTCCTTTCTCCAGGGATACCACAAGGTCCCCACTCGCCAAGGGCACAGTTCTAAACTTTCTCCTTTCTGGAGGCTACAGCCCTCTTTTCAGGACCCCCTGGGGACCTCCTCCTGGAATAATTCTCTGAATAAACACCCACCGAGCCCCTTCTCCTGCAGTTTCCACGCAGGGTCCCACCCCGAAGCGTTTCTCCCACCAGGACAACCCTTCAAAACACACTTCCCCCGGGCCGGCCGAGTGGCGTGATGGTTAAGAACTCGCTTGGGATGCCAGAGGGCCCCGGTTCGGATCCCACATATGAGGGCCAGTGACTCTGCCCTCTGCAGCTGAGATGCTGAACAACAGCTCAACCTGGAGCTGGGCTGCCATGAGTCGCCGGCGACGGCGTGGGCTGCAGTCCCTGTGGCAGTGGGTTGCCATGGGCTACCGTGTGTGGCCAGCAGCCAGCGTGAGCGGCCAGCAGCCGCAGTGAGCGGCGGTCCAGAAGCCAGTGACTGATCTGCCTCGCCCAGGAAGAGCGCAATGATGGTGCCAACTTGGGCCAGTGAAGCAACATCCTCCACAACTAGACTGAAGAACAAAACGACAGCAACTTGTCTGTTCCCCTTCCCCCAACTCCCCAGCACTGTTCCCATCCCCCCAATTCCCCAATAAAAAAAAAATCTTTAAAAAAAAAAAACAAAAAACACACTTCCCCCACTGCCCCCTTTGCCCACCCCACACTCCCTTCCAAATCCTCACTCCAAGCACCAGCTTCGATGCCCTTGTCTGCGGTGCCCTGACCTACACACTCCCCAGCTCCGGGGTCCCCGCGTCCCCTGGGTGAAGCCCCCGCTGACAGACTGCCTTGCGCCTCCCTGCTCCTGGCCCTCAGAAACAGCTCGAGTTCCAAGGTGAGGTAGAGAGCTGTCTGAAACGGCAGCAGAATTAAGGAGCAAGCGTCTTCGATGACGGGAAGGCAGGGCCCTGACGCAGAACTCTCCAGGGCTTTCACTCTCTAGGGTGCCTTCCTGGACATGACCTTAGAGCCACCCTGTAAATGGCCGTCTTGTGCCAGCCCCTGTCCCCCAGGCCTCATGTGACTTGCAATCCACTTGGGAAGGTAAACGGATGAACCAATTAACAGACACCACTGCCAGGGAGCCACCACAAGGGACCCGACGGTGACAGGGCGGTCACAGGAGACCATACGGAGGGGTCACCTGAGCAGAGAACTAAATGGAGGGAGGGCATGACCAGCCCATACTGGGGAAGGAGTGGTCCCGACCAGGGGACAGTGAGGACAGAAAAGGCCATGGTGGCAGAGCAGTGAATGAGGGCAGGGGTGGAACATGAGGCGAGGCGAGGCGAGGGGCCGGGCGGTGGCTGCTGTGCTCGGTCATAACACTAGGAAACACTGTGTCCCTAAGGCCACAGGACTATCTCTGCTGAGTCGCTTGTGTCCTCTGTGAAGGATGTGCCTACAGATCAGGACTCAGCGGACGCGTGCTGGGCTGGGAGCTAATCACCCCGGAGGTCAGCTGGCACAACCTGCGGCTGTGGCTGTCCCATGGGACACCGCCCAGTGAATACGCACGTCGCCCTGCCTGACTCACCCGGGGACATTCCCTCCAACGAGGACCGACCAAGCATGGTACCAGGTTCTAAGACTATGAAGACAAATACGATACGACCACCGGCCTCAAGGAGCACAGAAAGTGAGATCAGAGGGCTAAGCGAGTAAGGGCAGTGACGCGGCGGGGAGCTGCGATCACACATGTGCAGGCGGCGGCAAAGCCGGGGCCGCCTGGTGAGCCTGGGGCTTCTGGACTGGCCCGAGGGACCGACCGGGGCAAAGGAAGGCGCTCGAGCAGCGGGGTCTTACTTGTGCGAGACCGTGGTGGGAGGCAGCTGTTTGTGGTCTCCAGCCAGGATGCACCTCCTGGCCCTCAGCAGCGGAATCCAGCAGCTGGCTTCCAGGGCCTGGGAACACTCGTCGATGACCGCCACATCGAAATGCCCTTCAGGCAACAACTTCAGGGGGCCGTCGGAAGAAGCACCTGGTCAAAATCGGAGCCCTAAGTCTCCACGGAAGGCACTGGCTGTGTCCTAACAGCTGCAATCCCACCAGCAAGCCAGCACTGAGGCTGGAATACACTCGCATCTTGGAATAAAGACTCATGGTTCCTGCCCACCTGTGTGTTTAAGTGCGACGCTGTGTCTCCAGCTACGGGCCACCCCGATGCCCAAATCACCAAAATCCATCATCCCCTTGGGGCTCCGACCCCAAGCCTTAGAAGGCTGTCTTATTTCTAAATACTGTTCCTGTATCATTTTCTGAACGTAGGATTTAATTAATTCTCCTCCAAGGTGTTTCCTTAGACACACAGAACAATAACTGCTGACTGTTCACTCAGGGGCAAAACCTGTACATCTGACAACACGAGGCCACCACAGCAGCTCCTCCGTCCTGGAGCACAGAGCAGGGCAGTGACAGAGGTCAAATGCGGGGAGACCTGCCCCCCCCCACCCCGTGGCTCCAAACCAGCCGGAGCCTGTCCCTCTGCTTTAAAATGGTAAGAGAGTATTATGAACAACTTTATGCCTATAAACTCAACAACTCAGATTAAACGGATCAATTCCTTCAAAGATACAAGTTTGCTCAAGAGGTAACCTGACTATCACCATACCAATTAAAGGGATTGAATTTGAATTAAAGGGATTGAGTTAAAAACCTCCTTACAAAGAAAACTCCAAGAGGGCCAGCCGAGTGGCTCAGCTGGTTAAGAGCTTGCTCAAGAGCGTGAGCTCTGAGCAACAGCGGTTTGATTCCCGGCCCGAGCTGAGCTGCCGTTGAGCTGCCAACAGGTGGCAGGATGGCTCAGCTAAAAAAAACAAAAACAAAAAAAAACTCCAAGTCCCGGAGCCTTCCCTGGTGAATTCTGCCCAACGGTGAGGACCGTTTTACACAAATGCTTCCAGGAAACTGAAGACGGGGGATAGCCGAGAGCCCAGGCGGGACGGATGGGGACGCCCCCTCACCTGTGTTCGTGGCCAGGACCACATCCGCCGCTCTGAGGCTCTCCAGCGTCGCTGCTTCTTCCCTCTCCTTCAGCTCTTTCCTTAACAGCTTGATCTCATTTCGAAAGTTACTTTTCTCTCTCTTATCCTGGGTCTTTTTGGTTTTCACCTGTAAAGGAAGGCAAAGAAAATATAGTTATTTTGACCCAGCTTTGCACTCACTTAGCTCTTTTTATTTCACCAAGTGCTTTTATTTATAATAAGCTGGTCTACTTCACGAAGTTCCTTAAAAGGCGCTAAAAAGTAAAAATCTTTCTTGAAGGAGCAGCAGGTACTCACAGGTGACTGAGCACCTGACATCCTGCCTGGCCTTCGCATCACTGTCACCCGCACAGGGCGAGTCAGAGAGGAAAAGTCTGGGTCCTCCAAGCAGCCAGTGTTTTAAATGTGAACTCGGGGAGCCCGGGGTTTGGGCCCTGCCTGCGCGGCAGACGCTGGACAGGCTCCGGGGGGAGGTAAGGCAGTGGCCGGCTCAGGATCGAGGCTTCAGCAGCTCAGCCGGACAGGCTGAGCGTCACTTGTGACACCACAGTTGTCTAGAGATTAAAAAAGTGTCCTTCAGCCCATAAAATGCTTCCCTAAACCCCAACTTACTTGAATATGTAAAAAGACATGCAACCCCTTCCCCTTCCTTGAGATTTCTGCTTTCGAGGATGGGGGTCAGGCCCACGTGACAGGAGGGGTTACTGTGCCTAACTTATGAGAAGACAACCCTGAAAAGCACTGATTTAAACGGGAACAAGAGAATGAAGCCATCCACGCCTGGGATGGAGCTGTGGCATCACGTACCCCCACGCCTGTGACCTGCAGTGACACACGTTTACCCCGTTCCCACCGGCTGTTCCCACGACGGCATCTGAAGTGTGATCCCGCTATTCCACAGGCCCACGGGGAAGGCTGACCACAGCACTGGCCCTCTGAGGCCAGGACACTGAGGAATGCCAGCGTGAGGCCGTGAGGCCGGCTGATGGGATGCGCACAGGGCAGGGTGTTTAAGGAAACTTGGACTCACATGGACACTGGAGAACCAAAGAGCACGAAAGTACTGACTGCCAGAGAAAATGCCATCTCAGACTGACCTGTCGCCTGCCTAGCTCTCTTTCACTGGGATAATGTAAAATGGAGCAAAAACGGGGGAGGATGAGTAGTTTCAGAATTTTTATTTTCAGGTGGTTTTTTTTGCTTACCAATATTACCCACACAACACAGGCAGCTCTAAGGGGCACGTAGGGCAGTGTTCTCTTTAAGACAATTCCTCACCTGACCATGAAACTACCTGGAAGACAGCCGAGTCCCTATTAAATACTGAGCACACGTCTCGATCAGAAACGGGCGGTCCCAACGTCTGAAATTATTAAATGAACCGATGGAGACCAGAGACAAGCACGAGGACTATGGGCAGGAACGACACACTCCCCGGAAAGACAGCCGGTCAGAAAACCACACAGAAAGCAGAGCAGGGGGGACACGTACGAAGGCCTGGTCGATGTCCTTCCTGATGTCTGCAATGACCTGGGCGTTGTCGCTGCGCGCCAGGACCGCGTCCAGGGAGTGCTGCTGGATGGACCCCAGGATCCGGGCGGGGTGCCCGAGACGCAGGATCCTTCGCTTCCACCGTGCCAGACGCTCCACCAGGTTGTCCACGGCGACGTTAGAGGGCGCGCAGCATAGGACCTGGGGAGGCATTCGGGTTTGGTGACTTCTTTAATGACTACCTCCATTTACACTAAAACAAACAGGAAGCCTTGCAGGTAAAGAGAGGGTAGGGTGTGTACAGCTGGTGGTGCTAAGGTACAAACCCACCGCCATAGGGCCGAGTGAGCAGCCCATAGGACACACCTGACACAGTATCTGGACAGCTAGGACTTAGGTCTTCAGAACCTCCTGGCCTCCAAAGCACCAGAAATGCTAAGTGACCTACAACTGGAAGGGAAAGGGACGCCAAGTGCCCGGCAATCATCCGGCTGGGACACCAACCAAGTTGTTTCATCATCTGACAGCGTGGAACAGGGACAATCTCTGAACGGGCGCCATCCTGCGGTTCCATTGGAAGCAGGTGGCAGCTGGCAGAGGAAGACAGGGGAGCCCCCAGAAGTGCCAACGTCAAGAACAGGTGCCAAGGCCAAGCCTTGAGGTCCTGGCACCGCCTCCACCCCCGTGGAGGTGGCCATAGGCACACCTGAAGCCAAGGGGAAACATCCTGTGTCAGCTTCCTGCCAACAGTCATCTTTTTATCAAGTTTTCAAACGTCCGTGCCAAGACATTTACTTGTAGAAAACCCAGGGACACGGTTTCATAACCGAGTGACAGATCACCCTGCCGCTCTCAGAGCAGAGGCTGTGGGGCGTCTGCCCCAGTTCAAATCCGGCTCTGCCACTCAGTGGGGGGTGACTGCGGCACGTCACCGTGCTTCTCAGCCTCCTCTGTGAACTGGGGTCACTAACAGTCCCGGCACCCAGGGATTCTGTGAGGATGAGATGAGGGCGTGTATGGAAAGCACTGGAAAGGGTGCCTGGTTTGTAAAAAGCATCCACTAAAGGGCAACCTTCAGATGATGATCATTATTATTCCAATTCTTATCATTAACCAACATTTATAAACCAGAAAGAATTTTACCTAAAATTTATAAACCAGAAAGATTGTTTTAAAAAGCTTCCCACATGCCCAGAATCCACAATGACTCGTGTTGATACAGACGAGGATAAAAGATCCGTCCTCGACCACTGAAAACACAAGCGAACAATATTCCACAATATTCCATCCATCTCAGAAAATCAGTAATCTGCGTGCTGCACGTGTGGGCCGTTATCAATCAACCATAACCGTAACTGACTAACAGGACACATCTGTCTCCCTCAACCAGCCGCAGGCTCCAAAGGGCCCGGCCACATCATGTCCCCAGCCTGGGCCTGAACGCACAAGCACAGCGCACGTGCTGAGCCGATGAATCCCCGCCTACCGCCTGGTCCAAGGCATCAGGCCTCAGGGGGCCTTTCTCAGTAGCCCCGCCCCATGTTCCTGAGCACGTTCCCACATCCCACGCGGCTGTCAGAAATCAAAAAGTGCCCGCCAGTGCTCAGTCGGCAAATGTCAGTCCCAGCAGAGCCCAGGCTGCAGCCCGCTGAGCGCCAGCGAGCCAAGCTGATGGGAGCTGACCGGTGCTGATGGGGGACGCAGCGTCCCTGCCCACCTTGCAGCCCTGTGTCACAGCTTGAAGGATGATTTCAATCACGGTGGTGGTTTTCCCAGTGCCCGGAGGCCCGTGGATGATGGCGAGTTCCTTCTGGGACAGCGCAAACAAAACCGCTTCCTTCTGGGAGGCGTCCAGGGAGTCATTGTAGAAAACCGGTGGCCCTGCGGGAGAAGCAAGTGTGAGGCATGAGGTCCAGCTCCTCGCATGGGGGACGGAGGGGTCTGCACAGGAGGGAGCTGGGCCTCCCCGGGAGTCCCCCAATCAACACAAATCAACCGGCTTTGTCTTCAAAAGAATTCTATAGAACAGAATTGGCAGGCTACGGGCCACAGGCCACCCCCAGCCGCTGCCCCATTCCTGGGACGCAGGCACGTCGCTCTTTTACAGATGGTCTCTGGCTGTGTGCTGCCACACCAGCCTGCAAAGCCTAAAATATTTACAATTTGTCCCTTTACTGAAACAGTTTGCCAACTCAGGCCCCAGAATAACCGATTTCTCTGAAGCAAATGTTTTCTGGAATACGTCTGTTTCTACCATATTGTTCCTTTTTTAAGTGCCCACAGAATGACAAAAATAAATGATAAAAAAGTACTAGTATAGGGCCGGGCGAGTGGTGAAGTTGGTTAAGAGCACGAGCTCTGAGCAACAGGGTCACTGGTGTGATTCCCACATGGGCCAGTGAGCTGTGCCCAAGCTGAGCTGCCCTAAGCTGCCGACGGGTGGCCAGATTGCTCAGTGGTTAGAGCATGCGCTCTTAGCAACTAAGTTTCCGGTTCGACTCCCGCATGGGATTGTGGGCTATGCCCACCCGCAACTAAGATTAAACACGGCACCCTGAGCTGAGCGGCCATGAGCTGCCAACAGATGGCCGGATGGCAACTGGACTTGGAGCTGAGTTAGCTGCGCCCTCTACAATTAAGATTGAAGAGCAACAACTTGGCTGTTCCCCTTCCCCAATAAAATCTTTAAAAAAAAAAGTGCTAGCACATTCCAGGATGGGCTTTCCACTCTGAATCTTTCACGACTGAGACTAATTATCTGCGTCGGATGCTCCGTGCCCCGAGAGCAGGTGGCACTGTGCCCAGCTGTCCCCACAGAAGCGGCCACTCCATGGTGCCTGCTGCACGGGGACGCTCAGTAGGGCAGCATGCTGCGCTCGCGGGCACACACTGCCGGTCGGGGCTCGGAGACTGAGAAGAACGTGGAACACAGTCGCGCCATCTGACCCGAGAGCCTGGACACACCCCACCACTCCCCACCACGTCCCTTTTTCCCCAGATTATCAGCCAAAATCAAGGCATGTCGGTTCCTTCCAAGTTTCTCATTCAGCTTCCAGCAGAGCAGCCTCTTACCACACATCTGGGAAATAAATTATCATCGAAATGTGAGTGCTTTTAGAACTTGAAAAAGTGCTACAAAGGCCCCATGTCTGAAGCCGACACGGCACCGAGCGTATCGGCTCAGGGGCGACGCAGAGTGGTTGTGGGACAGCCCGTGAGAACTGGCTGAAGCCTGGCTGGAAAGGCCAGCAGGGGCCGGGATCCAGGAGCTTCATAAGGCCTCTGTGAGCAGCTGCTTGAGATGACACGCTCCTCTGGAAACTAAGTTTCTGCAAGAACCCGGAAGGGTATGAGAAAGTCCACAGGCTGACGCAGTGAAAGGAGCGGCGTGTGTGAGTGTGTGTGTGTGTGTGTGTGTGTGAGAGTGTACACGTTTGTGTGAAAGTGTGTGCATGTGTATGTAGGTGTATATGGGTGTGAAAGTGTGTAGGGGTGTGTGTGTGTGAGTGTGAGTGTATGTGAGAGTGCACGTGAGTGTGCGTGTTTGTGTGTGTGTGTGTGTAGGTGCATGCACGCATCTCTCTGGATGTACAACAGACACACTGTCCTATGTGGATGTGGAAAAGCCTAGAATACTCACAAATACTAGTGAGGGGAACTAAGTGGCAGGTTTCTGACAGATTTTTTCCTTTATTTGTTTTTTATTTCCAAATTTTTTACGATTAACACACATCACTCCCAGAAATGAGCTGTCTTCAATTTGAAGGATGATGAGAAAATAATCAAGTGAGACCTTTCAAACCAAAAAAAAAAAAAACAAGATATGAAGCATACCGTATACCGTATGACCAGCTAGCCTGTATATACGGAGCACTGAGCTGGAAGAAATCCCCCTACATCTCCAATAAATCTGTATACATCACAGAAAAAATACCATAAAGAAAATCAGTGGAAGGAGCTGCTTCTTTGATATTGAGTATAAGAAAGAGAGCCTTGTTCATGTAAGTCATTCCAAGAAGTTTATAAAAAGAAAATTGAGGTGGATTTCTTCGAATTGTACAACCTCAAACTCTTGCCAAAATGGCCCAAGGTCACACTGTTCCCTATACTTCTTGTAGTGATTTCAATCAGAAAAGAAAAAGCAAACGTTCTTACGTAGTTCGCTGGTGGGACTAGGAGTGGAGTCGCCAAAGAGGACCTCGATGAGGGGAAACGCGGGCCCAGAATGATACTTCTTTAGGGTGATTAGAGCTCTGCCCAGGGAGAAAACGAAAATTAGGTGCTTGGTAAAAACCAGCAATAAATCCAGCGCCGGAGGCCCGGCCCAGGCTGCCACCTGCAGCCCAGCGTCTCAGAGACGGGCACGTGACAGGCCCAGGCTGAACACATCTGCCAGCTGTGCCCGGGACTGCGGGCAGGCTGAGTGAGCTGAGGGAAACGCTACGTGTGACTTCCAGTGACACACACTCACTTTTTCAGTCGCTTGTAAGTGACGTCATTGGCAAGTTTTAACAGCCGGTAAGAATTCTCCTGGTCCAAGCTCAGCTGGAAACCATGGGATTCGTCCAAGGCCACCGTGACCGATTTCTGGGTGATCTGGGTCAGGATTCCTGTGGCCAGCTGACCGCCTTCATCATACAGACCCACTATATCACCTGCAGAAACAAAGACTCGGTTACGGAAACGCCAAAGTTAAATGTGAATTGTTTTATATAGTAAATTCCAGCATGTTTCAATTATCGCATGTAACCTTTAAAAATGCAATCAGTAGTGGTAAAAAAAATAAATAAGTAAATAAATAACATCTAAATCATACGTGAAAATTGACCTGAGATCAATGAACTGTTTAAAACAAACGCGCTAGTCAATAAGATATTTAAAGTGCTTACTCTGTGCCAGCCACTGTTGTGGGCGCTGGTCTGATTAGGAGTAAAGCACAGTCCCTGCCTTCCCGTTAGGGAGGGACAGAGAAATACAGCAATCTCTCAGGGGTCAGTGCCAAGGGCTCCAGGAAAGATGGGGACACAGGGAGGGGACACAGAAAGACGAGGGCGCCACCTTAGAAAGAGTGTGCGGTACGGGCCTGTCCGAGGGGCAACAGGTGAGCAGAGGGGCCCTGGATGAAGGGGGGAAAGGGGCCATGAGCACACCTGGAGAGAACATTCCAGGCGGAAGCGGCACATGGATGAAGGAGGGGCCGTGGCTGCCCGCTGCTCTCTCCACACGGACCTCCCCGCTTCCTGTGATAACTGTTCAGGGACTCACCCATCTGCCAGGTCACTCTGAGGGGCTTCCCCTGATGCCAAGGATGGAGCACATGACCCACACCTGAGCCAATCAGTGCTCCACACGCCACCTGGCCACGGTAACTGTTTAGGGATGGGCACGTCACTTACTCAGATAATCAGAGACCCTGAGGCGCAGTGTCTTTTGCTTGGGTTCCTGGGACAGAGGCCCTCACTCTAGCTGGGCCAGAACCCTGAGAGGCTGGAGGAGCCGGAACTGCTCCCAGGTGGCACTTGAGCTGGGTGACAGCCCTCGAGCCTGGAAGCCAACGGTGCCGTTAGCACAACCAATACAATCCGTACCCAAGCCACTTTGGCTTGGGTTTCCTGTCACTTGAACAGACAGTTCTGACCAAAACAGAATCCACTCTGAGAGAAAGCCAGGGCCACCCACAAATCTGCACCCCACTTATTCCGTTGTCTACAAGTGAGTCCGAGCGTCAGCCAGGCAGGTTTTCCGCCCATGGTGCTTTTATTCTAGACCAATGAGTTTCAGCTGCATCTTAAATCTTTCCTCTGCCTCGTTCCCCAAATTTTAAAGACACATCAGGTGGTAACAATGCTCCTGGGGCAGAGGCCCGGTTCTCGTCGCAGGGCGTGCCATGGATCCCACGATTCAGAATGTACACCTCGAAGCTACGGAGCCTTCCAACTGCTCCTCAGAAGATGAAAAATAACAGCTCGGCCTGAATTTGATCAATAGCTGCAGCAACCCATCAAACTTCCAACTGGCTACTTTTCCACATAAATGCCACTTTCTCTGACTTCCTATGTATCAACTAGTCATCAATCTCTTAGGTCATTCGCTTATTAACTGAATATACATTGTCACCATTGCATTCTTAGAGTTTACAAGCCACCTGCATGGACACTCAATTCTGCTCATTTAATCCTGACGGCGACCCCTTAGCCCTGCTCGTGTCAACCCATGTCAACCAGTCATGTGGAAGCAGATCTTTACAAGAGTAAAAGTCACAGTGTGAAGCCGGCAATATTCAGTATGTGCCAACATCAGGAACGCACAGACCGGAAGTAAAGCTGTTACTGGGAAGCACTCCTGCCGACACAGATCTCCGGGGCTCGAAGGTGACCAGCAGCCGTCCGTTCAGCCCGGTCCGCTGGCTGGACACCTGTAGCTTCAGCAAACAGACACCTCGGCTCTGGAGCTCTTTCAGGGAAATGTTTTCCTGCCAGGACCTGGAAGAGACCCAGTAGGAGACATCCGTATAAGTACTTTACCAATTTTAACTTCCACCCAGGCAGGAGAAATGTAAAAAAGGAGAGAAAAACAAATAAGGGGCACAGGCACTGCACATGACACAGCGAAATCCTGGGGCTCCCGCTCTCAGCCCTGCTCCCACCTCCCTGAGTGCACGTCACACCACAGCCCTTCTCCCGGTCGCCCGAGACAGAACCTGCGGTCAGCTTCACCTTCTCCACTCCCCCCGTGCTGCTTCACCTGTGTCACTAAGTCCTCTCAGGCCCTTCCCATTTTTACCCTGAATCCACCTCTGCCTCTCACCCTCCTCTCCAGAGCCCTGATTCAAGCCCACATCACTGACAGTCTGGACTAAACAGAACTTCCTAACTGCCTTACCTCTGGGGTCCCCTCCTCCAGTCGAAGCAGCAGCATCCGAGCGATGCTCTGAAAAAGCAAATCTATCCACCCCAACCCACTCTTCACTTGCTTCGCTGCATGGAGGGCACCCTCTGCACAAAAATATGACACAAGCTCTGTCTCAACCCGGTGCCCGTTTATCTTGTCATGCGTGCTTGCTCTGCACTGGGGACCGTGCTGAGCACTTGACCTTTAGTAGATCATTTCACTCTCACAGCAAATCTATGAGGTGGCAGTGATCCCTGTTTTTTCAGATGAGGGAACGAAGGCTCAGAGCCGGAACCTGCAAAGTCACGCAGTCATATAACAGAAGGAGCTGGGATCCTACTTAGGTCGGTATGGCTGCAAAAGCTCTTAACTTTCAGGATCAAAACCTCTCCAACAAACCCTATCGATGTATGCGGCACGATGGTTGAGTGCAAACTCTGGAAACCAGGCTGCCTGACCTCAGGTTCTGACTCTGTGTTACCCCGGGCGAGTTACCTAACCTCTCTGTCTCAGCCTCCTTAGACATAAAATGAGAACACCGGTAACACGCTTCGTAGAGATGGCATGAGGCTTAAAGGAATTAATGGAGGTGAAGTGCTTTTACAGTCCTCAATCAGTGTTAGCTCCCCGTGCTTCAGCCAAATGAATGTTCCTGTTCAGAAACGAGCCGGCTGTCTCCTGCCCCCACCCCCACCCCCACAGGCAGGGACGTCCTTCCTCCCCACATCTCGCCGGCAATACTGGGCCCCCAACATCCACCTTAACTCCCGGTTCCCTGCCAGCTGTGCTCAGGCACCGCCTCCTCCCTGAAGCCATCCTTCACTGAGCCCTCCTCCCCGGGTCAGCTGTTCTTCCTGCCTGTGCCCACCCACTATTCCTGCACGCGCGGCGTGAGCATTTGCCACGCTCGCTGGAAGGGAACTGTTCACGCTTCTCTCTCTCTCCTGTTCAAACCCGGGCTGCAGGTGACCGTATCCATCACTGTGTCTTACTCCGGCCTGGCACAGGATCGGTGCAAACATTCACAGAGTGGACCAACGAGGAAGAGGGCTGAGAACATGCTGGGGGTCCAACTGGGGGGCGGAGGCAGGCCCCAGGCGTGCAAGTTCAGGGAAGGGGGGACTTCAGGTCGAGAAAAGAAAGGGATTCCTTAGGGTCCAAAACCCGAACGGGCTGCCCCCGGGAGCTGATGAGGTTTTCATCTCTGAAGGCGGCCGAGTCGCGGTCCCGACTCGAGGGGTCAGGAGAGCAAATCCCTCCTGAAGCCCGTCAGGCCGACGCCACCCGCCTCCAACCACCCCCTCCCCCACCCCCCGGAGGCTCCACCCGAGTCTGAGCGGGGCAAGGCCGGACCGACCCCGAGAGAACAGACTGGCGTCCGTACCTGCGCTCCTCGACCTCCGCGTCTCTCTCGAGCTCCAGCAGGTCTAACTGCTTGGTCACGAAGCTCTCCACGGCCGTGGAGGCCATCGCTGCAGCCCGGCCCGGCCCCGGAGCTGCTGCGGTCCAGCGGCCGTGAAGGTAGGTGTTGATCGCCGGGCCCCGTGCGTCGACGCACCAGGTTTCGCGCTGCTTCCGCTTCCGCTTCCGGCCGAGGCTGCGGGAAGATGGCGGCAGCCATGGCGGCCTCGACCCTGCCGGTCACCTTTGGGCGGCTGGTGTCCGCGTGCAGCCGCAGCATCCTGAGGCCGTCGGGGCCCGGAGCGGGTGAGACCCGAGCCGCGGGGTGAAGGGAGGAAGCGGGGCGAGCGGCGCTCCTGGCCATCCCGCCCTGTGTCCGTCTGTGCCCGACTCGATGCCTTTGGTGCTGATCGCCTTTTTTCATGCGGTGATCATAGCACCGGCTTTGGAGTCGGGGAAACCTGGGTTCAGATCCTGACTCCTTTAGTCAGTAACTGAAATACTGACGATAGCTCTTCAACTTCAGTATAGGCCCTGTGTCACTGGGGCCCAGAGAGGTTAGGTAACTTACCCAGGGTCACACAGCGGGGACATGGGAAAGGAGTGACTCAAACAGCTCCGTCCCGCGCCAAAACCTGTGCGTTATCATTGCCTGCAGACTTCCAGCCACTCTCTGAGCCTCATTGTCCTCATCTGGAAAACGGCGATGAATGTCCTTACCTAATCTTAACCCATTCAGCATAAGCTACAGCTGTATTTTCAGCACTAGGCTGTAATGAGGTTCAGAAAAGGTTATGTTCATCAAAAACACTGTAAATTTCTGCCTGAAAATGGTTTGAGTGTATGTTTGTGTGCACGAGTGTTTATGTGTGTTTTTAAGTTGGGCTAAGTGGACATTTGACGATATTAAGAATTTTCCCTTTTTTTAGATGCAATAATGGTGTCATGGCTATGTTGTTGTTGTATTTAATGAGTCCTTTTTTAGAAATATACTGACATCTTTACTGATTGAAAAACTTCTGATTTACTTTAAAATAATTGCAGAATTGAGCCTGAGGCATTGTAAATCAAATAAAATTGGTCATGAGTTGATAACTGTTGAATCTGGGGAGGGATCCTTGAGGGCTTAGGGCTCCCTATGCTATTCTCTTTACTTTTGTATGCTTGACATTCTCCCTAATAAAATGTGGGTATATATGTAGGCAGGGAAGTTTTTACAAAGGCAGTGGGACTTCCTGTATTCTACTGATATACAACCACCTCTAGAATCCTGGGTTCAATTCCAGACTCACACTTTTGAGAGAAGCACAGAGAAACTCCCTGTACTCTGTGCAGTGAGTACAGAAGAAGGTGACTAAAATGGTGAGCAGATGGGACCTTGGAGAGTCACAGTCACAGTCCTCAGAGATAGAAGGGACAATCCTGTGGGACAGGAGGGAGCACCTTTGTCCCTGTCACGTCCAGGGCTAAACTAAGACCATAGGAGAGAGTTACAGGAAAGCAGGTCAGAGGCAGAAACTTCCTAACTTAGCTTTTAATGGTGGGATGGCTCCCATGAGTGGTGCCGAGTTCCTCGTCACTTAGAGTTCCAACAGGGGCTTCATCTGATGACTGAGCAGAGTAGGTTGCCTTCATTCACTCACCATTTATTAAGCACCAGTTACATATCAAACACTGGTCCAGGGTGGGGATACATCAATCATAAACATACGACCGTAACCCCTGCTTTTAGTGGAGCTAGCATTTTGATGGGAGAAGGGGTGACGGGAGAGAAAGGCAGTTTTAAAATAAGCAAATGACATATGTTCGAAGCTGATAAGTCTAATGGAGTAAAATAAAGCATGAGTTGGAAGAGGGGTTCAATTTTAAATAGCATGGTCGGGAAAGACCTCTCTACTGAGATGGTATTTGAGTGGAGACGAAGAAGCAATGAGGGAATTAGCCTTGCAGATACCTGAGGGAGAGGAGGGCTTTCAGGGAAAGAGCTGTCAGGGCACAGGCTCCAGGGCAGATGCACGCCTGGTGTGTCCCAGGAATAGCAAGGAAGCCAGAGCTGCGGGTCAGAGGGACCATGTGAGAGATGGGCTCAGAGAGACGGGATCAGACTGCCCAGCGCCATGTAGGCCCCGTAAGGACTTCTGCCTTATCTCTGAATGAAACGGGAAGTTCTTGGAGAGTTTCAGCAAATTACTGACATGATCAGACCTCTGAGTTTTAACAGGATCCTACTAGATGCTGTGCAGAGAAGGGAGGCAAGACGGGGAGCAGGGGGTTAGTGATAATGCAGTCGGGGTGTTCGTAGCTTGCATGGTTTAAGTGGTCAGAGCCTGGATCTCAGAGAAGGCCGAGCGGATCTGCTGATAGGCTGGCTGAGAGGCGTGAGAGAAGGGTCGAAGATTTTTGGCCTGAGCAGCTGGAAGGATGACGTTGCCGTTATGTGAGATGGGGAGGAGCATGAAGAAGCAGGCGATCAGGAGCCTTTGGTAGGCTTTGAGCTGCCCGCTAGACACGCAGGTGGCGATGGCACACAGGTGGATATCCAAGTGCAGGCTGCAGGTGTAAATGTGGGAGTCACCAGTGTACAAGTGATGCTTAAATCCATTTGATGCGATGCAATCACCAGAGGAATGGCCATAGATAGAGAAGAGGTAAGGTTAGGTTCAAGGTCTAAACTTCAGGCACACCAAAATGGTAGAAGAAGAAAACAAGCCAAGGAGACCAGGACTAGAGAGCAACTGCTGCCGGGTGAGCTTTAAAAGGGTGGGTTTTATGGTATATAAATTATAGCTCCATTTCAAAAACAACCGGCAGTAGTTGCTGAGAAACCCGTCCTCTCCGTTTCACGCCTAAGCACTGTGCCTTTGGTTTCTGCGCCCTTCTCTCCTCAGGGAACTGAGTGCCTTTGTCCCTTGGTGTATTAGTGTCTACTGCTCCGAACTTAGCAGCTTAAGATAACTAGCATTATCTCACACCGTGTCTGATAGTCAGGGGCCCAGGAGCCGCCTACCCGGGTGGTTCTGGCTCCGGATCGAATTAGATCGCAGTCAAGGCGACAGCTGGGGCTACAGTCACCTCAGGATCCCACTGAGGCTGAGGACCTGCCTCTAGGCTCACGCCTCGGCTGGCACAGGAGGCCCCAGCTCCTGACCACACAGGCCTCTCCACAGGGCGCTGGCAGGGTGGCAGCCCCTACAGCCAGACAAGAGAGAACCTCCGAGACGGAAGTTGCCATCTTTCATACCCTAACCTCAGAAGTGCTGTTCCATCATTTCTGCTACAGGCCATTGGTCACAGAAAACCAGTCCATGTGGGGGGCAAGGCTAGGGTGAGAATACCGGGGGACGGGCTTATCGGGACCACATTGGAAGCTGTTCCCACACAAGGATCTGGGCACTTGGTGGTTAAGGGCTGGGTTAGTGGTGGGTGATTTGGTTGTAGGCCCTTTTAGATGGTGTGATGAACCAATCTCGATGCTTGTTGTAAAAACCAATGACTTAAAGTGATGTCCTTTTAGCTTTGTTGATCTAGATTTTCTATAGACTAGTAGCGATGTGTTTTAAACTGACTCCAGTAACAGTTGTGCGTTTAGGGTTGTAAAGAGCGGTTTGCATTTCACAGCAGTAACTACCTGTGTTTCTCTTATTCCTTCAGCTTCCCTGTGGTCTGCTTCTCGAAGGTTCAGTTCGCAGAGCACTTCGTTTCCACAAGGGTAATATCGAAATGTGGGTTTTGGTGACTCTGCCTTTCATTTATAGACCTGTCTTTCTAAAGTCACAACCTCAGACATTTGGGTTTCCAGGAATATTTCTATTTTCTCTTAACTTTTTTTACAGTGTTTTTCGCAGACCCTCGACACAAATAAATACAGACACAATTTCAAGAGTCCAAACACCAAGGCATTCCTTGGCCTTATGTAGCTGTACTTTATTAAGGAAATGTTTAGCTCCTATTGGAGATGTCTAACTGGGAAGGGGGATCAGAATCTCTCGGAGGAACCTGTGAAATTTGAAAGTGCATGTTCATTGCTAAAATTTCATACTTAGGGGAAAACTTTACTGTAAACTACAGAAGGTCAATTTAGCAGAGTCCCACTGGCTGGAGGGAGACAGAGGAGCTGCACAGGATGGTGGTTACGAGTGGGGGAGCCCCCCAGGGACCCCAGCCCGCCCTGTGCCCAGCAGCGGGACCCTGAGCAAGACAGTGCCCAGAGCTCTGCTTCGTCCCCTGCGGGGTGGAGCATGAGTATCCACCTCGGTGCAGTTTTGTGGGAGTAGGCAAATTGCTGCATTTAAAGAGCCCAGAATAGTGCCTGGCATATGGTAAAACTCTCAGAAAACTGCTGGCCGCTCTTGCACCAGAGCCTGGGCAGTGGGGAGAGACACCGGTTTTTTTGTTTCTCAGAAGGAGAAGTTGAAAAACTGAGTCAGGGTATAGAGAGAAATCATAAGTGGGCATTTTAGCCAATTTGGCCTATTTTTCCCTATTTCCTCTGTGAAACCCACTGGGTTCCAGTTTTCCCGTTGTTGTTGTTTTCACGGGTTCGGCTGGGTCCTGCCAGAGTTCGTGTTTCTAGGTGCTCTGAGATTAGCACACTGGGAAAGCTCAGTTTAATTTTTTGCCCAGTGACACCAACATGGCCAGTTAACTCCAACTTGGAAAGCGTTCATGCATTTCACAGACGTGTGTTGGGCACGTTCCGAGGGCCAGTGAGCAAAAGGAAAACCCCACTTTCTGGTGGCAAACAGCAACGAACGCGTAAAAACGGGTCTGAATAACTCGATGTGGGCTCTCCCGACCTCTCCCCTGTTTGTGGACTTGAGGGATTTGAGGCAAAACTAGGACAGGAAGTTAGGAAGAGCTCTCACCCTCTTTCAAGCCCAGGCTCCCCTTGTTTGTTTCCCCCCACTCTCTACACCAGGCCAAGCAGAGGGGAGAAAGTTACTAAAATGAAGAAGATGCCCACACCAAGCTTGGTGGCCCAAGGTGGGGAGAGGGGCACACATGACCACAGCCAGGACAGAATGGTGGCGATGGCGCCGCTGCCCCAGGGCACCGAGCTGACCATGTTCCCACTCTGTTGAGTCCTTCTGGGCACATAACCCCTCCCAACCCCCACAGCCCTGAAGGCAGGTGCTTTTATTCCCACTTTCTTGGTGAAAGAAGCTGGGGCCCAGTGACATTAAATGCTTGCCAAGGTCATGTCCTTGTCAGGGGCAGAGCTGGGGTTCAGACCCAGCGCTATAACCCAGCACCCCCCTGGGGTGGGCCAGCAGCCCAGGACCCACAGGGTTATTCCAGGGACGGGCTCTTCTGGAATACAGTGCTCAGAATTCCTGTTACGATTAGCTAACAAGACCCATGGTGGTGTTCTAAGAGGGTAAGTGGGGGCCTATCCTCAGGATTACCCCAAAGGGTGGGGTCTGCACCAGAGAGCCTGCGCTGGTATTGCCCTGAGTCCCGTGACACCCGATGGCCAGCTTGCCGGTCCCCTCCCAGCATCTGGCCGCCTGAGAATGGGGGTGCCCAGCCGTTGCCCCAGCCAGTGATCATCCGAGATGCGAATGGGTGACAGGGTCGATTCCTGTCCTTCCTGGGACAGCCATTTCTTATGCTGTGAACTGCCTTTTCACGTGTGTGACACGTGTGTAAAATGATTTTTACAGATATGTCCCTAAAACATCCCTGAGTTCACCACCTTGGCCAGAAATCGTTCTGCCAGACCCAGCTGAGGAGACCAGACATCACGCAGGTAAGAGGCAGAACCGGCAGGCAGCACCCACCCTCTCCCAGGAAGGCGGTCATCTGGCCACAGAATGAGGGGTTTGCGATTCTCGGTGCTCCCAGACCTGGCAGGGCATGAACGCTCAGGTTCATTTTTTGCCACTGAACACCGGAATTGGAAGCCCCCCTTCATTTGGCAGATACCCCTTGAGCCCCTGTGTTCGAAGCAGGTACCGGGGTCGGGGGTGGGGAGCACTTGGTCCGTCCCTGCCTTCCTGCTTTGGTAGAAACGTGGGTTCAGAGAAAGAGCCCTCCCCAGCCGGCAGAACAGGACACGTGATAACCAGTGAGGACCAGCACCAGCCTGGGTGTCCTGAGGAGGGACAGTGTGGCGGGTCACCACAGCCACCATCCCCATAGGGGTGTGTAGGATCCTCAGTTTTCCCCAAAAACCTGGAAATGCAGATTAATGCATGGAACTACCTAGTTTTAAAATAATGTTGCGTGTGCGGTGCGAGCCACATAAGCTACAGGCTGAGTCCCGCCCCCTCTGCCGCGCGGCTTCCGGTCTGGACAGTTCCGGGGCAGGAGCTGGGTGGTCGCTGGCTGCGCCCCGCGCTGGTAGACGCTGTTCAGACAGCAAACTGCGCAGGGCAGACGGGGTTGTGGCCTGAGTAGCGGAGGGGGGTGGGGCGCAGAAGGAGGCGTGCAGAGAGCCCAGCCCCGTGGGGTGGCGCTCCAGGTTCCCCGTGTTTGCAAAAGGGCCACCTCTCCCTTCTCAGAGCTTGCACACTGTCCAGCTCTGGCTCTTCATCAATAATGACTGAGAACCGAACAGGGTGGGGGCAGGTTTCCACCCAGAGTCAGAGAGACGGACCCCGTCAGGTCACTGCAGGCCAGCATGGGGGCGGAGCTCTGCCTGTCCATCGTGGGTGATTGACGGGCCGCGCTGCTGTCCGCCCCTTCCGCCCCTCAGAGGTCGTGGGAAAGGTGAACGAGCTGATCGCCACCGGCCAGTACGGCAGGCTCTTCGCCGTGGTGCACTTTGCCAGCCACCAGTGGAAGGTGACCTCCGAAGACCTGATTTTAATCGAAAATGAATTAGACATTGAATGTGGAGAGAGGATTCGGTTGGAGAAGGTAAGACGGTCCGTTGTTTTGTGTACTCGGGGACGCGGTCACCAAATGTGCCATCCCTGGTTCCCGGGCCGTCACCGGGGAGGTGTCCTCATGGCGGAGGTGACCACAGGCAGAGTGGGTGATGGAGCAGGCTGGCCGAGGCAGGGCGAGGGCAGGCGGGTGCAGAGCTGGCCGCTCCTCCGGGCCGCCCCGGCTCAGTCAATCCACTCCTTACCTGGAGACGGTCGGCACGTTTCTCTAGGGAAAAACACACGTGTCTGTTGGTCGTGTCATATCTCATTGATGTATTCCCACAGAAAAAAATATTTGACCGCAGATTTAATAAAAGCCCCAGTTAAGGATGTAAAGAGTTTTCAAGCCATGTTTATGGGGGGAAACGTTACGTTTCAGCAAGGACACTATTTGACGTTAGATTTGCGGCCGCTGTGGTTTTTAAGCAGTAAGGACTGATTAGGAGGCATGACCCCGGGCACAGATTATCCATCTCGCGGATCTACACAGCACGTGCTGTTCTGTGGACTGAGCTAAGCGTTTCTGCCCTTGGCTGTGATTCTGTTTGCTGTTCCGGGAGTCTGTTCCCTTTCTGCCAATTCTGTTTTTATTTATAGAGCTATAAAATATAAGCTCTCTGTACCAGATCGTTTTTCTAGAGTATGTGTAACTGTTAATATAATGTAATATGATGTATACGAGTATGATTTGCTTTATTAATTAAAACCCCTCCTTCCTTTGTGATTGTAGTTTTTGTCTATTTACACCAAGGAGAGCACTAAATTCTGTTCCTTCAATGGTCTTCTCACAGCCTGTGATCTGAGCACATTATTTTAAAACTTTTCACACTAACAAAAAGTATAGAAAGACCCACTAATGCAGATTGTTTTTCATAACTTGGGTAGTCCAGGAATAGACAGCGTGTCATGCTCCCTGAAAGTAACTCTGAAACAGTTTGTTTATTATTTGTCATCATCTAATTGCACCATCCATTGGCGTTGTTATAAATGTGCTTTGTCTTTAGACATTTAAGTTGAGCATGCTTTTTTTCTTGCCAGTGAAATTTAAGGCATTCTTCCAACATCGAATGAAAACACCGTTGCACTTGGAATACAACGGTGTCTCCATCTGTGGCCACACTTAGTGTCACAATTTCCGCTAAACCAAGAATGGTGACCTGGCTGTATGGAATTCTGCAGTCATCAGACACACCTGAGCCTAAATCGTCTCAGCCTTAGCAGGCCCGTGAGCTGCATAATAAGACACCGTAGTCTGATTTGTGCATTTCATACATATGTATGTTATACTTCCCTGAGAATTTTTTTAAATTAAAAAGCCACTGTTTTCATAGGAGGTTAACACACTTATCCTGGTATGTGGTCACCACATCAAATCGTCAGTTTTACCTGTCCTGCCTCTGACAGTCTAGCGCATTTCCGTAAGCTGCACTTACTGCCGGTGCTGTTTAAATAAGGCAATAATTAGTTACATCGCAGATCAAGTCCACATCACAATTTCTAATCAATACCTTTCTCATTTTCTGGTGTCACGACCTATTTTCAGTGACTTCTGTATTACTTATTGGTAATGCACTGATTTCATTTTTTAGGTCCTGCTGGTTGGGGCTGACAACTTCACGTTACTTGGCAAGCCGCTCCTTGGGTAATGTGCTGTCACACGTGGGGCTTTGTGTAGGCCCCGGCAGTGAGGCCAGGCGAGGGGGGGGTTGGGGGGGGCGACACATGGCACTCGTGTCACCACAACGCCATGCAGAACATGCTCACACTTCATAAGAGTGGAGATTTAGTGTCCCAATGTGGAGAACATTCAGCCCAAATCATCGTTCTGTTCCCAATTCATGGCCCTTTTAATATCTGTGGACACACTGCACTGTTCCCCGTTATGCTTCTTTGTAGCTTTTTAAGTGTCTACAGGGAGGGCACAGTACTTCTATAATCAGCCAAAAAGGAAGTAAAACTTCATTTTAGAGATCGTTACATGAAACATTAGTAAAACTGAGAAATAATCCGTAAGATACGCCATTATTTCTTTTCCTCCCTTCTAGAAAGGATCTTGTTCGAGTAGAAGCCACAGTCATTGAAAAGACAGAATCATGGCCAAAAGTCAATATGAAATTTAAGAAAAGGAAAAACTACAGGAAGAAACATAGTAAGTTAGAAAGTGGAGCTGGCGCCCTGCGGCGCTGCCCTGCTCTGGATGTTACCCTGTGTCCAGCCACTGGGCACGGTGGGACCCAGCGCCTGCAGTCTGCCCCCGGCCCCTGGGTCTGACAGCGCGGGGCAGGTGGGGCTGTGGAGGGAGAGGGCCCTGGGAGCCCCCTGACCCTGCCACTGGGGCTGGACCTGACCAGTCATCACACTGCATGTGCCACGAGACACAGACGGGGACATTAGCGGCCGCATCATTCATGCTGGAGAGCACCAGAAGCGGCTCACATGTCCACCGCAGAATGGGCGAGTGAGCGGAGAAATACTCTCAGTGGAGCACCACCCAGCAGGGACCTCACCGCCATGGACACAACAGCGGGGCGGGTCTTGGATGGTGTACAGGGTGACACTGTTTCAGAGAACCTGAAGTCAGTCCGTACTGCTGGGCACACAGACCTGTCCGCACACACACACACACACACATGCGTGCACACACACACATGCGTGCACACACACATGGGCCACTCCTGAAGGAGGGATGATGAGCAGAATCCACGCTTGTGCTCGCCTGGGGGGGGGGGGCGTGAGAAGGAAGGGGCCGGCGTGTTCTCGCGGTCAAGTGCATGTGGCAGGCTCCTTGGAGTTCTGCGTCCTGTGTGCTGCAGAGCGCTCCTGGGTGTGCCCTGTTCTCGCATGTTGCCAGTGTTACGTTAAAATCCTTGGAAGAAAAAAGTGCACCAGCCATGAACTCGAGACGTGAGGACACTGTCCTTTGAAGGCAGTTAAAGAGGTGGTGCAGCTGGGGAGTGAGGTCACGGGGGGGCTGGGAGGCGCGCGAAGCTTCCAGGTGGAGGAGGGACACCCCTCTGCAGCCTGGAGAACGGGAGCATGGGGAGAAGGTGAGAGGGAGACAGTGTGGACAGGCTTCCGGGCTAGCCTGTGGGGACGGAGGCCCCGGGTGGCCAGGGCTGTGCTGGTTGTCAGAGAAGGGAGAGGCCAGCGGTGGCTGAGTGCTGGTGGGACCGAGGAAGGTGGGCCGGAACCCAGGTGGCGAGAGGCTCAGAGGGGCCCTCCATCCTGCTCGGTTGCGGTGAAGGGGCGTGCGTACGCGCGACTGGCCTTAAGTGTTGGTGACGAGGACAGGGACGAGTTTCCGATGGCTTCACTGAGGTGGGCAGGAAGAAAGGTGGTCCGCTGGGAGAGATAAAGAAGCACAACGCGCTCAGCTGGGGGGGGGGGCGGGGGGCTCAGCCCGGGTGCTGCTTGAGTGCTGGCTCTGGCAGGCTCCAGAGAGAGGGCATGACGCTGGCACTGACAAGGGAGGGACGACAGAACCAAAGCCGCGTAGGGGGAAGGATGGCCCGAGGGGCTGGCGGGTGAGAAGTGGACCCAGTTACTGCAGCAGCGAGTCGGAGGGGTGATCTCACAGCAGAGGCCTCTCCGTGGGAGCCGTGGGTGCCGCCCGGATGGCTGAATGCTGGTGGGAGGGGGCCGGTGTGGCTAGTGGGCAGCCAGTTAGCTTCGTTTGGTGGCATTTTGGTATATGCGTACGGGTGTTGTGCGAATGCAGGGCTCGAGACAACACGCCCGGTGGGTGGGGACGGGAAGGAGTGAGGGCAGATCTGAACTCCCTTCCCAGCCTCCGGGTGTGGGCGCTGGGGCCTCAGGGACGAAGCCCCAGGTGGGTCTTGGTCCAGCCATCACTGCCCACTTTCTGCCCTCCTGCCCTGGACGGGCACCCGCAGGGCCTGGCCTGCGCTGCCCCGTCTCCCTGACCCCCACATCTCACCTGCCTTGGTTCCTGTCAGTGGCGACCGGCATTGCCCAGTTAATCCACAAGCAGGAAGGGCACTGTCCTGTGGAGGCTTCCACTGGAGGTCACAGTCCCCATCAGGCAGGTGCTCCTCGAGGCTGGGACCCTGCAGGTTGTAGCATCCTGTCTCCCAAAATGTGTATCACCCACGATCCTTGGTCACAACAGTAATTGCTGCCAGTAGTGGAGGGACTAGTTCCCATATACCTGAACCAGTAGCATTGCCCTTACCCAGACTCGGGTCACAAAGCCTCAAGGTTCACTTACCACCACCACCCCCGCCACCCCTGCAGTCCAGGGGTCTCAGAGTGGGCACGGTGGGGGAAGAAAGGCTGGTGGCCACGGCAAGGGCTCCCCTGGCACCAGGCCTCCGGGGTCGCAGCCTCTGCAGCTTCTAAATGGCTCAGGGGTTCGGCACGCCACCAAGGACTCGCGGCACATGGCTGGCAGGGGCCACATGGGACCTGTGGGTGGCCGGTGCTGCCTAGGGAGGCTGGTGCGAGGCTGAGGCCCTCGTGGGAAGAGCAGGCAGCAGGGTCTCGCGGTGGCTCAGTAATGAGGTTGGAATGTGTGGTCAAGCTGTGACCGAGTTCTCTCTCTTCCCCAGTTACTGTGAACCCACAGACGGTCCTCCGGATAAACACCATTGAGATTGCTCCATGTCTGCGCTGACCATCCAGCTGACATTTCCAAAAATGTAAAAATAAACTCCCTTTTTCCAGGAAGATCGAGTTTGTGTCCTGGTGCAGACACTCTGGGTCTGTTGCGGAGTGTTCTGGCTGGAGGGCCGCTTCTGTGAGCAGCAGCCTTCCCAGGCCAGAGAAGTCAGCAGTGGGGGGATCCCAAGCATGGCCCTCCCGGCGAGCCCCGTGCTTGTCTGAGAGACCAGCGGATTCTTGGCTGCCTCCCATCCCCCAGCGCAGGCGGCAGAGCCAGAAGGCGTGGAGTGGGGGACACAGCTGGGTCCCAGGAGCTGACGCCAAGAGAGACACAATCTAGATTCCACTTTGGGGCGAGATGGACGAAAACATGAGCAAATTCCATCTCTGAGCGATCCAGTGTGCCTGTTTGTAGCGATTTGCTTTATTAAAAAGCTGGGATTCAAACCAGGCAGTCTGGGCCCAGATCAGACTGTCCTTGCTTCGCTTGGTCCAGCAGGAAAGGGGGATCACAGTGCAGGGGCTGGTGCTCTGACCACAGGCCGCGCTGACCGGATGGGAGGAGGGGCGGCAGGGGGCGGGGAGGCTTGAGAGCCAGGGCTGCGAAGCAGCAGAGACCCCGGGGGCCCAGAGGAGTTTTGACTTGGCCCTGGAAGCAGCCACTTGTCCGTGAAGAGTTTGGGGTGGTCAGGCAGGCAGCCAACCCAGGAAAGAAGGGACAGGTCCTCAACCCAGAGAGGCCCAGGGGACGGAGGGGAGGACTCTGGGGAGCAAGTGTGGGGAACAGGGCCCAGCCACCCAGGCCCTGGTTCTGTCATTCACAGAGGCAGGGCCTCCCTCCAAGACTGTAATTAGGTCTTTCAAGTGACAAGTGAAGACTTTCTTCCCAAGATGCCTTCAAGACTCCCTTGGGGGATGGTCCCTGTGATGTGGAAACCAGAAAACCAAGGCATTGGCTTCCCAGGAGGCTCCCCTTCCTCTCTCCCCCTCCCCCACCGCTCTGTCCCGCCCCCCTCAAGCACCCAGTCACCCTGGCAGGATGCTGGCCCCACCCATGGGGGCACTCCCCATGTAGTGCCCTCCATGCACAGAAGGAGATCTAGAGCCACGCTGGCTGCTGGCTGGGGTGGGAGGCGTGGTGGGACCCAACCTCAGATCGTGGGGGGCTCTCCCTCTGATGCTGCCCATTGGGACTTTGTAGCAACTTCCCATATGCCCTAGCTCATGTGGAACCCTGAGAGTCCCGTGTCTGGAGCCCCAAAGCCTGGCGTTCTCTCTGGATTCTCGGCCGGCCTGGCACTGTCTCCTGTGGTCATTGTCGCGTGTTCCAGTTGTAAAATGTTTGGACAGGAACCGCCATCCGTGTTCCTCAACTGCTGCGTCCACATGCTTGAATACAAAACAAAGTGCTGCGGTCAGCAGGACGGCTTAGGGAGGGTTCTGGAGCCAGACAGACCTGAGGGTGAGCCCCAGACACCCCCAGTGAGCCGCGTGTGATCCTGGGTTACCAAGCCCTGGGCCCCGACTTCCTCATACGTCAAAGGGGGGTGATGGTCGTAGCCACCCCACTGGACCGCCGTGAAGACTGGGCCATAGTCAGGGCCCAGTCAATATTCATCCCTATTACCAAGTAGGAGGCAGAGGCTGTGTGCCCTGGGGACCTGGTGACATTCATTACTATCGGTGTTGAGCTGGTGAAAGTTTAGTCCTTTTAAAAACTGGACGGGGCATTGTCCACTGCTGCATCCCGCACAGCATAGGCAGTGGGGAGTCAGAGGGGGGGCGGCAAAGGGTTAAAGAAACAAGAGACAAAGGTAGAGTTAAAGCGAGGCCAGGGGACTGCAGTTCTCTCTCTCTGGAACTGACCCCGAATCGGGCCAATGCGTGGCTTTTATTAAGAACCTTCAAAGGAGTGAAACTTGTTTTTTCTAAAGTCCGCATGACAAGTGCTTTATGGCTAATTACCATCAACCAGCCCCGTTGTATTCCAACACCTGCTGTGCCTTCATACTCCCACACACACAACCCCAGGATGGTGCAGCTGTGCCGCGGCCATGAAAATAAGGGCGATAACAGACATGATTCCGCCGGGTCTCAGCGTTCCGAGACACTTCCTTGTGACCTCGTTAGGTCAGGGGTTGGTGTGGGGGGGCGGTTGAGGATGAAGCTGTAAGGCGACAGTCCACGAAAAGGCGGAAATGACTCAAATGTGCATTCACAGATGGACAAACGTGGTTACACGTACCGTGAAATGTTACTCAGCAATAAAAAGGGAGGAAGCGCCAACACGCTACCGTGCAAATGGACCTTGAAAACACGCTAAGTGAGAGAAGCCAGACAGAACGGGACAAATATCGTAGGATTCTGTTGATAGGAAATGTCCAGAACAGGCAAATCCAAAGTCTCCCTGGCTGGGCAGGGGAAGCCGGAAATTAGCAGGTGCAGGGCTCAGCTTGAGGCCATGGAAAAGTCAGGAAGCAGTGGTGACAGTCACACAACATTGTGAATGTCCTTGATGCCACTGAGTTGTCACAAATGGTTAAAATGGTAGGTTTTGTGTTTTTGATGGAAAGTAGGATTTACCGGTGGGTGTAAGGAGGGGGCAGCGCCAAGATTCTCCTGAGGGCAGGGCCCACCGTTTGTCCAGGGGACCATGATTAGGGATGTACTTGACCCCGCGGCCACCTGGGATGAGCCGCTTTTCAGCCACCGTGTCTTCAAACTCATCCGCATTAAACAGTAAAGCCCCGCTCCTTGGATATTGTGGTGGCCAGGGAACTTGAACTTGGCCCTGCGTAGCACCTCAGCCACGTGCTCCTTGTTCTGCAGCTTGGTACCAACAGACACAATGGCTTGGCCATGTGGACCCTGGCCACCGTGCCCTGGGGCTTTCCAAAGGCACCTGCACACCTGTCTGGAGTCTGCCAGCCCCAGCACGGGACAGCTTGTTGATGAGGGTGACATGGAAAGGGGTGGAGCCCCACGCGGATGTGAAACCGGCTTTGACACCACGTGGCCCCAGAGTGGGCGCTCACCACGGATGCCCTCTTCGCCCAGGTCACAGACGCGGACCTCGGTGTCAGGGGACCTCAGTGGAAGCGAGACTTTGGGTATGGTCATTCTTACAACACGGGCAGCACCGGGCTGGGCGGTGGCCCGTAGCAACACCAGGGCCTATAGTGGCGTGCCGAAGGGGAAGAGAGTAAAATGGTGAGTTTCATGGCATGTATATTTAGCCACATTTTTAAAAAACAGAAAAAAACTGGGCTAGCTTAATAATGCCACTTGACTGGCAGTGGGGGGTGGGGGGTGCATGGGTAGATTCCCATCACCATCTTTGCAGAGTATGAATGTCACCTCACAGGTTCATGACACAGCTGTCCTCGCAGCTGACCGCAGACACGCTGTGGGTCACCTCGGAAACGGTAGGACGCTTGGCCACGCCAGCACTCACTGTCCCCTCCCGGCTGCCTGCTGGGCTCGCCCAGGCCAGGTTTGTCTGTTCCCCTTTTTCACAGGGACACTGCTGCTTAGTTAGGAGTGCGGGCTTCACCCAGGAGCCTCCCAGGGACCTCCAAGCACCTGCTTGCCTCGCCTCCCGTTCACCCACCCGGTTACTGCCCTCTCCGAGCACTGCCCCTCCATCTCCCACCCCAGCCTGCTCTCCTGGACTGTGGCCCAAGGCCCAAGATGGTGCCATCCAGAACCTCCCCGCCGAGCCCAGCATGTACCCAGAGAGCAGTGGGGGTGGGGCAGAAATGGAGAGCGAGAGACGGGACCATGGGACAGCAGACAGCCCAGGGGTTAGGCACAAGGGTTTTGAGTCACACCGTCACCTCCATCACTGACCAGTATGCCCGGCCGCTGGATATGTGTTACTAGTGTGGCAGTGGGCCCTAGACAAAGGCCTTCCCAGAGTATATGGTCACTAAGGATTTTACGCAGGCTTCAGACAAAGACATTCCTGGACTATGTGGTCAGCAAGACCTCCGTGTTTAATATTTCCAAATTCCTACCTCACCCAGGAGCCAGTCAGGAGCTGGCACAATGACCACATGTTCTAATAATAAGTCTTAGCTGCCAACCTAAAAACTTCAGGGTATATAACCCCGAGTCCCGCCCGAATCGGGCTCAGCCTCTGGATGTGAATCCGCTGAGCCAGTGCCGACATTAGTAAAAGTTGCTTCCCACGCCTTGGTGTCCTGTCTCTTTGTCTGGGTTCCCCGCAACACTAGCTCAAATGGGGCTGCCTGGGCCATCCCATCTCAGGAGGTCCCTCACCTGGGTCACCACCTCTGCCCCCTGTCTTCTTCCTGGTATCAGCACGTGTGTTTATTGTCCTGGGTTTCTCTCTTGCCTCCCTCCCCCACTGGACTGCCAGCTCAAGGTGGGGAGGGTGTCATGTATCTGCCTTATTCACTAATATATGCACACCCACCGTTAACCACCACACCAGCCCACGGCAGGCATGCAGTCAGCACTCTGAATGAATGAATATCTCGGTCAGGATCTCTAATTCCATGCTGCTGGTGACCAGGGTTGGTCCCCACGGAGGACTAGAGTGCCCCTTCCATGCAGTGCAGATGTCTGGGAGAAGTGGGGGAAGGGTTGTGCCCAGTAGTGTGGGGAGAGGCCAATGGCCCAGGAGTTTTGTGGAAGAGACAGAGTCCCTTGTGCCTTTGGGGACCACAGGATATCATAGTTCTAGAAGCATTAAACATGGAAATCGTGGTAACCCCGTGCAGGCGGGGCTCAGTCTTATCTACAAAGCCACAGAAGGGACTGCCCTGGTTCCGGCAGGCTGAGCCCAGAGGTCAGGACAGCAGCCACGGGTGGCACTGGCATTTCCTGCCAGCATCTCCACACCCCAGACTCCTGGGCCACAGCCACTTCCGCCGGGGTAGGGCACCACCCCGACAGTCTCTGGGAGATAAGCGCACACACCTGGGAGGCTGGCGCTCTTTGACCCACTTTCTGTGCAGGCAACAGAGCAGAAACTGGAGGAGACACAGAACCCAGGCTGCCTAGTGTCCCCGAAAGATGCCATCTGGTTTTCTTCTTTCTTTCCTCCT